ATGAAGACAATACCTTTACTTTTATTTATTTATGTATTATTAATGTGGTGCTGAGGATTGAATCCAGTGCCTCACACATGCTAGGTGAATGATCTGCCATTGAGCCACAACCCTAGTCCTAGAAGTGACTTCCTTATGTGGTACAAGAAATGTGTAGGCAGCATAGCATTCAGACCGTCACATAGATATTGCTGGCACCTTTTGTCAAAATTTATTGTAACATTCAGGGGCAGAAAGCAGGGCAGAAATATTTGGAAAAAGTTAACTTGAAAGTTCATAAAACGAAGGCAAAGGATGTTGCAGTTGTTAAAATTATTACCACCAATACAAAAATGCTAAAGACTTTGAACAGAGACAATAAAAAAGACGGCTTAAGGGCTTCTCAAAATCTGTCAAGTCTACACTCATCTCAAGATCCTGGGAGTAAAGGTGAAAATTTCCTTAACAAGATACCAGAGGGAAACCTTCTAACCCAAGGGGGCCTAGAAAGTGTTTTCCACAGGCTCTGCTACGCAAACACTCAGAGACTTCTGAAGCCAGGGTCCCTGGAGGCTTGGTTATTGCTCAACATGGTGGCAGTCCTTGGGACCAATCATGAGGTTCTTGTTCTGCATTAATGCAGGATGCTGGAGTTAGGGATTTATGGAGGCTTCTTCCTTGATTTCAAAGGAAGGCCTGGGAAACCAAACAAAGCACAAAAGGATTGGAGTCCCTGCTGGCATCTGAGAAGTCAAAGTCTGCAGATATGAGGAGGAAACTGAAGCTGCAGTGGAGACAAACCCTCCTCATTAAGAAATGCCAGTAACATGGACATCATTCTTGGAAAGCTGCAGGAATTGAGCAGAGACAGGCCCACAGAACAACCACTTGGACTACAGCAAACAAGGGCACAGGGGCAGGGATACACAAGACCTTTGGGAAGAACATCTTGATGCCATGTGTTTCAGATGTGGACACAGAACTAGAGGACCTGTTTGACCAGCTGTATTTTGGTCTTCTTCTGATCCTACCCTTTCTTTCTATGCCCCTAATTTTGTGAATAAAAATGTTTACTTCGTACCTATTATAAATGGGGTAATTGTAAATTGCTTTTAATTTTATAGAAGCTCACAATTAAAGATTGTATTGAGCCTCAGAGAAGACTTTGGACTTGAACTTTGAGCAGTCTTAGAACTGTTGAGACTATGGAGAGTCTTGGGAATGGACAAAATGTACTTTGCATTGTGAGATGGTTGTGAGCTTTTGGGGGCCAGGTGTGGAATGTTATGTTTAGGATGTGGGGTGTCCCCCAAAAGCTCACATGTGAGATAATGCAAATGGTTCAGAGAAGAAATGATTGGATCCTAAGAGCATTAATTCAATAAGTGAGTAATTTCTCTGATAGGAATTAACAGAGTGATAACTGAAGGCTGATAGAGTGTGACCAGAGAGATAGGACATTGGGGGCATTTCTTTGAGGTATATATTTTATTTTATTTTTATTTTTTGTAGTTGTAGATGGACAGCATGTCTTTATTTAGTTTATTCTTATGTAGTGCTTGCTAAGTGTCGAACTCAATACCTCATGTGTGCAAGGCAAGCACTCTGCCCCTGAGCTACAACCCAAGCCCAGGGTATATATTTTATATCTTGTGAATGGAGTTTCCTTTCTTTACTTCCTTTTCATCCAACTAAGCAGAGAAAATCTGACAAAGAAAAGGCAGAAAAAGAACCAGTTTTGCCCAGTGAGTCAAAAGAGAACCCACCTCCTTACATGCCACTCTACCCAACATTATCAAGACCACCAAGACAATGGGCAGTGCCCTCAGCCCCCTCATTTCCAGAAACCACATAATAGGTCCCAGATGCACAAGGCAACATAAAAGTCTATGCCCATGCCAAGTTCCCCAACACAGACTCAGGGTGGGACCCCAGAAAAGATGAAGACCTCCAAAATATAAAGAGATATCAAGAACTCCTCTCAGGAGGCTTCAAAGAAGGGGAAGGAGAGCCCTAATCATGAACAAGATGTCAGAAGTACTCCAAAAGCCTGACGAAAGCCCCAGCCAGTTTTATAACCAACCTTGTGAAGCCTCTGACTCTCCCTTTGATCCTGAGGCACCAGACAACCAGCAGGTGGACAACACAATCATTGTGGGACAGGCACACAGTGACAGTCTCTAAAACTAGAGAACACTAGAGGATTTTACTGGGAAGAATGCCAGTGAGCTGTTTGAAGTGGCCACCACAGTGTTGGTCAATCAAGACCAAGAGACCCAGCAAGAAGCCGACTGAAGGATGAAGGAGATGGTTTCTCCTTGCAGCTGCCCTTACTACAGACCCAGGAGTCACCCAAAGGGGCTCCCACCAGGACAAAGCCAAAACAAATATTAGAATCAGAACCAGATGCAGGGCAGAAGGATGGTCTGGACCAACCTCCTAACCTGGAGACTAGGCTGAGACTAAACCAATGCACCCACTGCCATCTAGAGAGCCACTGGGAAAATGAATGCCCCACATGAAGAAAGTCAACTGGGATCTTGCTACTCCTTAACAGGATAAGTGAGGCCAAGTCCTTCAAGGATGATACCAGCCTTTCAAATGTGTCCCTCATGATGCTCATGACAAAGACACCCCTATGATGGTCATGAGAAATTTTTGTGGGATTTGAGGACTTTGGGAAATTATGATGAGGACTAGGACTGACTGGGATTCATCCCTTTGGGCACCCAGAAACCTATGGTCCCAACACTTATAGGGGACAAACCTATGAAATTTGGTGGACACTGGGGCTCACCATTTGGTTGTGACCCAACCTGTGGGCCCACTTTCAAAGAAAGAGACCACAATTGAGATGGCCCCAGGAAATAAACTCATCATCCTTTCCTGTTATCCTAGCATTTCCATTTAGCAGGCCATGACTACTACATGGCCTGCTAAATGGAAATGCTGGGATAACAACCAGAGAAGATGGCATAAAAGGAACACAGCGGCTTCTCACTCTCCTACTTAAGGCTGGTTACAAAGTTTCAAAAAAGAAAGCTCAGATCTGTCAAGAAAAAGTCAAGTACCTTGGTTTCTGTTTGACTCAGAGTCAGTGGCAACTAGGCTACAAGAGGAAACAGGTGACCTGCTCAATTCAAGTCCCTTCAACCTGCTGTCAAATCAGAGATTTGCTGCTTAATTCTGCTGTATATGGATCCCAAATTTTTCAATTATGGCAAAACCCCTCTATGAAGGCACACAAAGGAAAAAAGAGAATCTGCTATTTGGGGGACCAACAAAAGGACTTTGAGGACACTAAAGAAGCACTCACCAATGCACCTGGACTAGGACTTCCTGACCTCACAAAGCCTTGTTCCTGTATGTCCATGAATGGTATGGAATAGCTGTAGGAGTTCTGGCTCAAATGCTGGGAACATGGCACATCCAATGGCCTATCTCTCTAAACAGCTGGACTCTGTAGCCCAATGCTGGCCACCTTGCTTATGGGCCCTTAGAGCCATGGCCCTTCTGGTGTTGGAAGCTAATAAACTGGCTATGAAACAAGAATTAGATGTCCGTGTTCCTCATTAATTTTGCCATTATAAGAGTACAAAGGATAATATTGGCTGAATAATGAAAGATACCAGGGCATGTTCTGTGAAAATCCACACAGCCATGTGTAAGTTGTCTGGACTCTAAACACAGCAACTCTGTGCCTATCACAACAGGACAACCTATTACAACTGCACTGATGTCATGGGTGAAGCATGCTCCAGCAGAACAGACCTGACAGACAAGAGCCTAAATAACCCTGATGCAGAATACTTCAGAGTTGAAAGCAGTTGGAGACAGCCCCTGAGATACTACTCAGAAACCTTTGGTGGCTCTGAGGATCAATAACACAATGTGGAAGGCCCTCACCACCACTGTGACAATGAGAATTTCCCAGAAGTTCAGTGACACATTGGTAAGACACTAATCCCCACTGAGTATTAATGAAGGCCATTAGTTATCTAGAATACTGTAGAAGAATCTAAGTACCACCAGATATTTTGAAGAGTCCTTAAACCTGCTGAAATAGAAAGGAAAGCCCTAGTTCTCACTGTTACTCTTGGGAAGGTCTTGACATAAAATCAAATCCTGGGGAAAATGCTGAGCACAGCTGTGATGCTGGAAATGGCACTCAGCTCCCAGAGATTCTGAGCAATTCCCCTGGATTCAATGAGAAACTCTGAAAGATCCTGAACCTACTATTTGTTTGAGAAAGATTCAGAGACTAGCTCTAAGGCTAGGAGAAGCAGTGAGCATCACTGAGATCCCAAGAATAGGACTGAGCCTCATAGAGAAGGTGTTAAAAAGGGGAAGGGGACTCTGAAAATAGCTCTGAAATTCATTGAACCCCTAGAGAAACAAATGGCACCTATTGAGAACCTTCAGGAAGGCCCAGAGATCTTACAGACCTTGGAAATGGTGCTATGCTTCAATAAGAATCTGGAAAGGCAATGTAATGACTGAGATTTTGGGGAAGGCCATGCATACATCATCAAGCTAAGGAAGATCCTTAGCCCCCTAATACTCTGAGTAGATTTTAAACACTATTGAGTCAATAGTAAATGAACTTATCCTCTCTGAGATTTTGTAGGAGTTTAGCCTTATTCTAAAACCTGGGCAATAATCTGAGCAACATAAAGACCATGAGGACCTTTCTAAACATGATTGAAATTCTGGAGAAGTCCTTGGGTTCTCCTGAGGCTGTTGGGTAGGCCCTGATCTTCTTAGATGCTAGGGTTGGCCATGAGATTTACTCATGTTGAGAAAATACCTAAGATATTTACATGCCTTGAAGAAAATCCTTAACATAATGAAGGGTCAGGGGCATGCACTATGAATGATTGTGAACATGGCAATGTTGCTAAGCTCCAACGATGCGTGAGAAGGCAAAGAACCCAGTAAACTTTGAATATTGGGGTGCACACATCTATAACTCTGGAGAAGGTCCTGAGACTGTAAGGAAACAAAAGGAGATGGAAGCAAGATGCAGAGGCAACATGGCCGCTTGTCTAAGCAGCTGTCTTTATTTATACTGATAGGTTACATTAGCTCAATGCACCATTAGTACATTAGGTGTTCTGGTTGAGCATGCATTAGTTATCGTAATAGTGTCTGGGAGAAACTGCAGAATGTTCCAGCTGTGGGAAACAAGACACCTCTTATTCTCTGGGAGTTTGCTCACCAGAGACACTTACTGCTTAGCACATTTCCACAGTCACACACTTATTGCTCCTCCTTTTTTGTTTTGTGTGGCCTTTTGGATGGATTACATTTTTAAAAAATAAACATTTTTTTTGTTTTTCATTTGGTGGAGGTAAAAAATAGGATAGGCTTCAACAACAACAAAAACAAAACGACAATCCCAATATTAGTAAACAGTCACCTATGACTAGTTGTTTAATCCAAGTAAGATTGGTTAATCTCATGGTTAACCAATCCAATATATGTAAACTTTCATAATCCTGTTGGACCTTTTTAATGATGTCTTTAAGGTAATCTAACTCTTTTGAAATGGAGTTATTATTGTCCCTTAAATTAAAGCAAGTCATACTGTTATGATCATTACACGTTTATAACGTAATAATAATAAATAATCAATTGCAGCCCAATTGAAGAATGACTTAATGATTTTTTTGTTCTTCATTTAGCATATTGATTTCCGTAGAGTTATGATCATTACTTTTCATCCTATCACAGGCCAATTTCATACTTTGTTTATAAGCTGTGACAGTCAATCCAATGAGTACAAAATTATGCAAAAGCATAGGACATATATGAAGGGGCATATATTTTAAAAATGAATACATTTTTAAAAGAGTAGGTTTGCCCATAGTGTCAAAGCAGAGTAATAAATGAGAAATGCAAACATGTACCTTTTCAGACCTTTGGGCACTGGCTCAAATGAACGAAGAATGAGTCTTAATGGAAACATGGAGAAAGCAAAAAGGATGAAAGGCAAAGAAATGGATAATGTCCATTTCCCAAAGTGCATTAGAATGTAGGCCCCATGGATTTACAGATTCTCACATGGGGTCCCAGAAGGGCATACAGTGAGAATAGTTATTGACAATGGCACAAGCCTGTTGGGAAGAAATAAAAAACATATTCATTAGTGAGTGATGATTTTGATGAAAATAAAATAAAAAACAAAGGGACCTCACAGCTGTATCTCTTCTGTTACTTTCCATCAGACATCCAGGAATTTATCATTAATAAAAACAGATACTACCTGCTTTCCTTACCTCCATCTGTATACAACATCGACCTAACTACAACAGGAAGGGTAGAGATAAAGTCGTGACATAACAGAGACTCATCCATCATAAAACATGTGAAAAGAAATTGGTGCTAAAATAAAAAATCTGTTAATACAACTTGATAGTAGGAGAAAAATTGTAAGTATTGGAGATGTATAATATTTCCATAAGTGAGATATAAAACATGAATGTCCAAGCCTGTTAAAGATAAAAATTTTAGTGCAACTATCAGCCGTTAATGATGCATATGTATCAGCAAAAGGCAGAACATTCCAGCCTAAAAAATGAGGAGAGTGTAACCATTCTAATGTACACAATTAGCAATTACTGATATAAAGACGTAAAGTTTTCCAACAAAAATTAGCAACAATAATGGCACTTTTGATAAAGGAGGTCAACTCACCATTACTGGCAACAATTTTCTGTTAATGTATTGTAGAGCTTAAAGAAGGCAGTGTAGTGTTGTTTCTTTAACAACTAGAAAAATGAGAGAGCATATTAATATTTAATGGAATATAGGAAATTTCCCAATGTAAATGTACTGGAAATTGCTATAAATGAACCAAGGAAAATTTAGAAGAAAGGGTCAAATTTGGGATGTGACTAATTGAATATTTTTGAAATAATGTATGTCCCAAGTAGGTGACAGGTCATTAATGATGAATTATTTTGTATTACAACATGGAGTCCTGATTGTAATAACACTTCCTGTAATGTTTGTAGGATTTCATCTGTGATGTTTCATCCTATAAGCAATATAGTATCCATACAATGATAAAGAAGTAAATGAAAAAATTTCTGACCACAAGAGAGCAAAGCTTTATAAACAAAATATTGACATAATATTGGGCTATTTAGCATTTCTTGTGGGAGAACTTTCCAATGCAATCTATTAGTAGGCTTATGATGGTTAAAAATGGAAACAGTAAAAGCAAATTTTTTTATCTTTCTGATCATTAAGAAAAAGAGGAATATTTTTCAAACATTGTTTTAAGTCAATGACATATAAATAAAAATCCTGAAGAATTAAGTTTGTGTTTGGTGATCTGCATTGAAGCAGACCTATGGGGTTATACATTTATTAATTTCTCTTAAATCTTGAAATAATCTCCATTTTCCTGATTTCAGTTTTATAACAAAAATAGGCATATTCCAAGGGCTAGTGGAAGGTCAAATATGTCCTAATTGTAGCTGTTCTTCAAAAAGGGCCTTTGCATCTGCCACATTTCCCTTTGACAATGGCCATTATTCAACCCTCAAAGGGGTGGGGAATTTCCACTTTAGTGACAAGGCAGTCATATCAGCAAAGACCCCTATTAAAAAAATAATTCTGCAGAAATCTGGAGTTTATGTAGCATGTCTCTGCTCCATATAGGAAAATGTATTGCCATCACATATGGCTGCACATGAGGGATGATTTGTGTTGGATTGGAAAGGGCAGAGCATTGCGACCACAGGGAGCTTTTGGACACCCATTCATTATTGTCTCCTATGTCCCAAACCAGAGTTGCCCTTTGCAGGGGCCATGTATGAGGCCAAACCACAAAAGGAATGACAATGATATTAGCACCTGTGTCCAATAATCCCATAATTGGTTTCATTTAAGTAAAGAGTCAGTTTAGGTCTATTTTCAGTGATCAGTAAACATGCTCCCATGATGGTAGACCAAACCTTGCCCTTCCTCTTTTGTTTAAAGGCTGTTGAACAGTATCATAGGGAATCACACTTAATTGAACAATAGAGGATCCTCTGGGGAGGCTTCAGAGCATATGGGACCACATTAGGCCATATATTATACCAGTGTAAACAGAATCAATTACCTCTGGATAACAAATTTTCCTTCTTTAACACTATGAGAATGAGAAAAAAATATATATATAAAAGCATTTTTTTGTAAAGTCTTCTGAATTTGAGTGAAAATTTTATATACCTGTCCAGGAAGCCACACTGGTCTTTTTCAGGAGAAATTAAATCTATGCCAGTGTTCCCCATAGAGGCATGAAAGGATTTCTGGAACAATGCTCTGTTTGAACCTAAGAGACAGCTGTGTCTGGATTGGGAACATTTGTGTCATGGGATCTTGAGAAGGCTGGAAATATGCGTTCCCTCCCTTTTGTCACTTTCCAAAAGAGTTGGTTAAAATTCTTATTTATTTATTTTTATTTATGTTTATATTTTAATTAAGTATATATGACAGCAGAATTTGATTGACTGTACACAATTGCAGCAAAACTTTACATTTCTCTGGTTGTACATGATGTAGCATTGCACCTTATGTGCAGTCATACATGTACCTAGGGTAATGATGTCCATCTCTTTCCCCCAGCAGCTCTTTTTTTTAAAATGTTTTAAATTTGTTTTAATTAGTTATACATGAGAATAAAATGCATTTATGCAGCAAAATATAATTGCTGATGCTCTGGCTGGCCAGCAGGATTTAGCCTATAGGAAAAACAGCTAAGGTGTGAGTTTCTCTCTCCTGCTTCACTTGTGGTAAACATTCAGCCAAATGAGATCTGACCAGTGGTGGCAGTGGCAGCAGAGGAGGAGGAGACAGTGAAGGCAGAGGGAACACCTCCATAAAGAATGTCTGTATCACAAGTGGCAGCTGGGTGGTAGCAGACAGAGGAGGAGGTGTTTACTGGGAGACAAATAGCATTGGGACAAAGATGACAAGCATGCAATGGAGCTCGCACCTTCTCATGAGCTTCTTACCTACATCTTCCCAATCTTCTCCACTTAAATAACCACTTTCTGGGCACCAAGAGCAACAAGAACTTACCAGCAAAGCAGTGAGGTCACCATTACATATGGCACGTCCAGCCTTGTAAAATAAATAGGAGAGCTCAGCCCAGTGACATCATTGAGCATCAGATAGGTAATTTCCCATAGCTTACCAATGGGATCAGTACTAGCTGATGAAAGACATGCATCAGCTTGCTCCAGGTGATAAGCCACTCCCTTCCCCAATAACACGTCCAGAGGGTTCCTGTTTCAGATGTCCAGGTACCACATTGGGCGCCAACTGTAGGAAAACAAATGAAAATAAAAGCAAGATGCAGATGCAAAATGGCTGCTTGTCTAAGCACTGAGTTCGTGTGAATATACATGGGCTCAATGAAATGCATGATGAAGGGAAGGAGAACACAAAGTCTCTTGGCAAATAACCTGAGCAGGATATTGAGATTGAAGAAGACCATGAGATTCACTGAGAACCTCGGCAAGGACCCACAATCCATTGAAACTATAGCAGAGTCCATGAGCCTCATTAGTGATCTGCAAAATCTAAATTCCACTGACACACTGGGGAAAGGCCTGAACATCAATACAAATCAAGTGAAGGCCCTGAATGCCAAGAGGCAATTGTGAAGGCCTTTGAATCACTTAAACTCATGGAAAAAAACCAGAAGACCAAGAAACACTACGGACAGCCCTGAGCCACACTAAAATTCTGTAGATTGTCCTGAGAATGACAAATACACTAAGGAAAACATTGAGATCCAGTATAGAACATGGGAAAACCAGGGGCTTCTGTTGAGCTGCAAAAGCACTGTCAAAAGGAAACCCTGGGACAGAGCCACAACCCAACCTTAACCCCTGGTAGAGGCCCTGAACTCAGCTGTGAAACTATTTTTTGAAGATCTTTAGCCTCACAAAAGCTGTGGAAAAAACTCTGAGACCTAATATTAACTGGCCACTCAAAAAAGACCCAAGAGAATTCCCTGAACACCTGTATGTCATTGGGGAAAGCACTGATCCAGACTCAGATCCTGGAGAAAGCCCTGAGCTTTCATTCTGTAATATGGGGTAGCCCTGAGTGCTCCTGACACAGTGGGAAGACCCTGAGCATCACTGTGACAGTGGAAACATCTCTGTGTCACAATCACACACTGGGCATGGCTATATTCCCCAATGAGACACTAGGGAAGAACAGTATTTCCCAAGAATACTGTGGAAGAATGTGAGCACCACTAGATATTGTGAAGGATTGTTAATCCACTGAAGTAGTAGGGTAGGCCCTAGGCCTCACAACAATTTTTTAAAAGTTTCCTGACACAAAATCAAACTCTTAGAAGCTGCTGAGCACAACAGTGATCCTAATAATGACACATAGCTCTACAGATACCTTGGGAAATACCCTGGAAATCACTAAGAAAGCCTCAGTGACCCTGAACACAGTGTTTTATTTCATAAGATTCACAGTCTAAAACTGAGTTTGGAAGAAGCACTTGGCATCACTGAGACTCTTGAGAATAGCACTGAGCCTATGGGCAAATTGTAAAATATTCTGTCATAACAGGATATGGCTGTTGGCTCCAAAGTTCAGTGATCCTCTGAAAAAATGTACTGAGAACTATAGAGACATCTGGGAAGGCTCTGATCAAGTGGTAAAATTGTAAATGGTGCTGATGTGTACTGAGAACCTGAGAAGGTAATGAGAACACTAACTTTCTTGCAAAGGCTGTGAACACATCTGTTATCCTAAGGTTGAGTCCTTAGAATTCCTAAGAACCTGAAGAATATTTTGATCACCATTGAAACAACAGTGAATGAAATTAATACATTTTAGAATTTTGTTAAAGCCTTGAACCTCTCCTAAACACTGGGCAATATCCAAGCCCCCTTCTTGTCACTAATTTTCTGGGTACCCCCTGATCATCAGTGTGACCTGGGAGGACTATAGCTTCACTGAATTTCTGAGAAGGTAATGACACCACAGAGACTCTGCAGAAGACCCTGGGTAGCATTGTAACACTGGGAATGACAATGAACTCCACTGAGAACCTGAGAGACATGCTGAGATTTGCTTTCAGTCTGACAAAAACTCTAACCCAGTGTGTCTTTAGGGAACTGTCTAAGCCCTGGTCACACACTGGATACAAAATGGGTCATGAATGAGACACTGAAAAAGGCCCTGAGAAAAATGGAGAGTCTGGTAATGGCCATGAGTTCCATTGAGGCAATGGGCAAAGCCTTTGGCTCTTTGAATACCTGAGACACTTCCTGACCCATACTGAGTTGCTGGAAATGTCCAAGAGCTCACCTGAATGCACAAGCATGGGAATGAGATCAGAGAGACTCTGGGGAACACCCTGACAAAGGCCATGGTACTAGAGAGTCCATGTAAACCAGAGACCCCAGGCAAGGACCCACAATCCACTGAATCAGTACCAGAGTCCATGAGCATCCTCAGTAACCTGCAGAATCCCTGAATCCAAGTAACACAGTGGGAAAAGCCCTGAATGCCAATTACAAACCACTGCATGCCAAGTGACTCTTTTAAAGACCTTTGAATCACATAAACTTATGGAATACCTCTGAATAGCTCTGAAATTCTGTGAACAGCCTCTTGTTACATTGAAATTCTAGACATTGTCTGAGAACAGCAGATCACTGTGGAAGGCATTGAGGCCCTCTAAAGAACATAGGAAAGCCATGAGCTTTCTTCTTGACCTGGAAAACCACTCAGACAGAAGGAGACCCTGACAAAAATCCACAACCCTTCTAAGAATGTGTTGTGGGTCCTATAACCACTGTCATTCTAATTATTACAATTCCATAGACACACAGATACTATTTGGAAAAATCTGAGAAAATCATACCTGATATTTCAAAAAACACACTAGAGAATCTCTTGAGGCCCTGTACATCAGTGGGAAATGCACTAAGCCAGAGTGAGATTTTAGAGAAAGCCCTGAGCCTACACTAAGAAACATGCAGTAGCTACTGACACATGGTGGTAAGCCCTAAGCACCATTATGACAATAATAATATGTCTCTTATAAATGACACATTGGGCAAGGCTGTGTTCCAAAATGAGACTCTGGAGAAAACCATTATTTTATCAGAATGTGTGGAAAAATCTGAGGACCACTAAATATTGTGCAGAGTTGTGACATCCATTGAAATACTAGGGTAGGCCCTAGGCCTCACACACAATCCAATTCTGAAGGAGATGGTGAGCACCACTTTGATAATGGGAATGGCCCTTGGCACCACAGAGACCTGGGGCAAACCCCTGGGATTCATTGAAAAACCCTTCAGTGCCCAGAATTCAGTGATTCTCTGTGGAATATTGAGAGCTTCTCTTGGAGGCTGGAAGAAGGACTGAGCATCACTGAGACTCTAATAATAGCACTGAGCCTCATGGACAACCTGAAAAAGACTGTGAAAAAATGAGGGACTCTGAGGTTGGCTCTGCAATTCATTGTTCCCCTGGAAAAGGTCATAAAACCTATTGAGACTTTGGGATGGCCCTGAGCACAGGATGAAATTGTGAATGCTGGTGACCAGCACTGAGAGACTGGAGAGGCAATGGGACAATTAGGACTCTTGGGAAGGTTTTTGTGCAAACTTCTATTAGACTAAGGAGAGCCCTTAGCATTCCTAAGAATCAGAAGGATATTTCAAACCCAATTGAGAACAGTGAATAAAAATTAATGAATCTGTGGCTCTTGTTGAAGCCTTGGGCCTCTTCTATACACTAGAAAATATTTCAAGCACCATGAAGGCCATGTGGACATTTCTAAACAAGATTAAATTTCTGGAAAAGTTTTTGAGCCCTCCTAAGACTCTAGAGTAAGCCCTAAAACCCAGTGACATGGAAAAGACCTTGATCCCCTCCAATACCCTGAGGGTCACTAACACTCTGGGGTAAGTATTTGCCATTATTGTTTCCTGGGAATAGTATAGCTTTACTGAATGTCTGGGAATGCAATGATGCCACTAAGACTCTGATGAAGGCTCTGGGCACAATTGTGATCATGGAGAATGCCCTGAGACTCAGTAAGATACTTGGCTGTCCCTGAGAAACACTGTGACCCTTGGCATGGCAAGGAACTCCACGGATATCCTGGAAAACATGGTGATATTTACGGAGGCATTGAATAAACTCTGAACACAGTGTGCCTTTGAAGATCAATCTAATCCCATCTGACACTCTGAGAATAGCTCTGAACATGACTGAGACACTTGAAAAGGCCCTGGGGTGGGGGGGGGGAAGCCTGGTAATAGCCATAGGTTTCACTGATGTACAGGGCCTTAAGGGCCAAAGGCTCTTTGAATACCTGGGAAACTTCCTGAACCACACTGAGCTGCTGAAAATGGAAAGAGGTCACCTGAATGCACAAGCATGGGAAGGAGAACACTAAGATTCTCAGCAAACACGCTGAGCAAGACCCTGGGAGTAGAGGAGACCATGAAAACAACTGAAACCCTTGGCAAGGATCCACAATCCACTGAGTCAGTACCAGAGTCCATAAGCCTCCTTAGAGACCTGCAAAATCCCTGGATTCAAGTGATACACTGGCAAAAGCTCTGAATGCCAATTACAAACCAATAAAGGCCCTGAGGTCAAGAGAGTCTTTTGAAGACCTTTGAATAATACAAACTCATGTGTCAGGAGCTGTCATGTATGAATCAAGTGCCCCTTAGCCTTGAGCAGTGACAATGTGGAGATGTGGCAAAAGCCAGCCATGGGCTGTGTGTGTGTGTAAACTATAGGCACTGAGCACACAAAGTGCACTAAACCAATGTTGGCCATTTTGGGGGTGGGCCTTGCTCTGGTCTTTGTGCTTGCTCCCCAAATGTCAGTGAATTTGCTGACAGCAGACATTAGAAAGCTACACTCAACTCCCTGAAACCTGACCCCTTGCCTCATTTGAATGGCTTCTCCCCAGTAAAAGGGTTCATCACATGCTCTCTCTCTCTCTCTTGCTCTTTCTATGGACACCTAAGGTTAGAGGAAAAATCACAGGACCCAAAGAAAAAGATATCTCTGTCTCTAGTGTGATTATTTCATGCAGCCCAGTTCACCTGGAGTGACCTTGAGGGTTTAGTTGTGAGATGCAACACTCATGGAAGCTTGTGAACACCCCTTAAATCCTGTGGAGAGACCTCTGTCACTCTGGTATCTTGAAGATTGTCCTGAGAACTACAGATACACAGTGTAAGTTGTTGAGGCCCACTAAAGGACATGGGGAAGCCACGATCTTCATATGTGAGCTGGGAAAGCACTGAGACAAA